ATACATACATATATATACACATACATACATACATACATATATATACACATACATACATACATACATATATATACACATACATACATACATACATACATATACATAGTTCTGACCAGTTCTGACCAAAGCTCACTGCATAGTGCTGTGAGAAGAACAAACCGGATTCCAAAGAAGTTGGGACACTAAACAAATTGTGAATAAAAACTGAATGCAATGATGTGGAGATGGCAAATGTCAATATTTTATTCGTAATATAACATAGATGACAGACCAAAAGTTTAATCTGAGTAAATGTAACATTTTAAAGGAAAAATATGTTGATTCAAAATTTCACAGTGTCAACAAATCCCCAAAAAGTTGGGACAAGTAGCAATAAGTGGCTAAAAAAAGGAAATTGAGCATATAACGAACAGCTGGAAGACCAATTAACACTAATTAGGTCAATTGACAACATGATTGGGTATAAAAAGAGCTTCTCAGAGTGTCAGTGTCTCTCCCAAGCCAAGATGGTAAGAGAATCACCAATTCCACCATTGTTGCGCAGAAAGACAGTGCAGCAATACCAGAATGGTGTTACCCAGTGTAAAATAGCAAAGACTTTTAAGTTATCATCATCTACCGTGCATAACATCATCAAAAGATTCAGAGAATCTTTAACAATCGCTGTGCGTAAGGGTCAAGGCTGTAAAACTCTACTGGATGCTCTTGATCTCCGGGCCCTTAAACGTCACTGCACCTCAAACAGGAATGCCACTGTCAAGGAAATAACAGAATGGGCTCAGGAATACTTCCAGAAAGCATTGTCAGTGAACACAATCCACCGTGCCATCCGCCGTTGCCAGCTGAAACTCTACAGTGCAAAGAGGAAGCCATTTCTAAGCAAGCTCCACAAGCTCAGACATTTGCACTGGGCCAGGGGTCATTTAAAATGGAGTGTGGCAAAATGGAAGACTGTTCTGTGGTCAGATGAGTCACGATTTGAAGTTCTTTATGGAACACTGGGATGCCATGTCATCCGGACCAGAGAGGACAAGGATAGCCCAAGTTGTTATCAACGCTCCGTTCAGAAGCCTGCATCACTGATTGAACGATTGAACAGAGGCCTGTATAAGACATGAATGGGAAAGCATTCCTATTTCTAAACTTGAGAAACTGGTCTCCTCTGTCCCTAGACGTCTGTTGAGTGTTGTAAGAAGAAGGGGGGATGCCACAAAGTGGTAAAAATGGACTTGTCCCAACTTTTTTGGGATTTGTTGATGCCATGAAATTTGGAAACAACAGATTTTCTCCTTAAAATGATACATTCTCTCAGTTTAAACTTTTGATCTGTGATTTGTGTTCTATTCTGAATAAAATATTAGATGTTGGCACCTCCACATCATTGCATTCAGTTTTTATTCACAATTTGTTTAGTGTCCCAACTTTTTTGGAATCCGGTTAGTAATTGTTTGAAAAAAGGGGCAGATATAATAAGATTTTTTCTTCTTTCTGCTGCCTTTCATTTTAAATCTCTTGTATTTTTTTTTTATATTGTTATGGAATTGTTTTGTATTATTTTAAATGAATAAACGTTATACCATACCATACTGAGATAAGATAGAACTTTTCTGATCCCAACAACTCCGTTTCAGCTTCATCATCTATTTTCAGCACTCATTTAGCACTCAGTGTTCACACAGTTTTTGTAGAAAATGTAATTTATCTAGTTTCCATATCAGTTTGTTTTCTGTTTAATGTAATGTTTGGAATTTTAGTCTATATGGTATTTATCCATTAAAATGAAACCATCAAAAATTTCAAGTGAGCAAACTTATAAAATAAAGGGTCAAATGTTGTCCCCCTCCCGCCTCCCACTGTAATCCATACGTTATATACTAACCAGCAGATTGGGACACGCCTGCAGCGCTTCCAGAACTCCAGGAATACTGAAAGCCTCATAACCTCTGGCTCGTCTCCTTTCCAGGCACCGAGGGTGGAGGCCATACAGCTGCTCCAGATCAGGCATCTTCTTCATAAGGATCAAAAAACTTCTATCTGTAAAACCTGAATAGGAAAACATAAATAAGTGCATGAAAGCCCAGCAGCCTTGCCTATATTTTCTAATCTACAACACTTTCACACAAGTCATAAGACCCATGGAGCATGTGGAGGGCATTAAGTGCATCACAAATTATAAAAGCAGGGGTGCACAATGCCCTAGGGACTCATCACTGCCTGATGCCCTCAACAAGAACTATGCACGCTTTGAAGACCAGAACAGACCACCCAACACCAGACTCAGTTCACCACCAGAAGAGGACCATCTCAGCATGACCTCAGCTGAAGTAAGGAGTACCTTCAGGAGGATTAAATCTCATAAAGCCACTGGCCCATACAACATCCTGGGGAAGGTGCTGAAAGACTGTGTCGATCAGCTCTGCGAGGTGCTGGCCGACATCTTTAACTCCTCCCTCACCCTGGCAACAGTTCCCAACTGCCTGAAGACCACCACCATCATCCCAGTCCCAAAGAGCATTGCAGTGACGGGTCTGAATGACTCTGAATGGCCTCACCCCGATAAGTCGCTAAAACTCCATCTTGTTGAAGCTCCAAAATTCACGGTTGTAGCGATATGGTGTGTAAATATATGCTTTGATTATTGAGTAAAATTAGTGAAACTTAAAAGGCAGACTTAGGATGGGCTTCTGTTTGTGAAGTGGTTCAAATTGTACCTAAGGTGAACAAAGTTTGTCTGATAAGTTTATTGTGATGTAGGGTCACCAGCAAACAGATGAAACCATGAGAGTTCTCCAGTTTGAACAGCATCCGTAGATACCAGGCAGAAAGGTACAGATGGTAGCTCATAAGTTGAGAAATCTCCCGAGTTACCTTGGCTATGAAGACTGTAGTCCTCCTCTGGACCTGGTTCGATGGATAACTGTTCTGGATTGATTACTCACAGTTCACTCTGGGAAGGTGCTGGTTCTGTATCTTTTCATATCATCTCTCTCTTGAGACGTCTGCAGAAAGGGTGCTTCTCGTTTGCTCAAAGTCGTCTGCTGAAGGTTCTCTCTCCTCTCTGAAGTCAAATGCAGAAGAGAGTTTCTCCTCGCTCCAGTTCCGAGCTCCTGTGTGAAGTCTCTGGAGTTTTTCTTAAAAAGTGTGAAGGCTTTGGCGTTTCTCTTCAAAAGTGAAACTTAACTGTCTGTGTTAAAACAGATAGGACTGATCTACCTCGGGACAGGTGGTTCTGACTTTTGCCTTGTTTTTATAAAATCTAAAGTCCCTTTTCTGCCTTAAATGTTTCCTTCTAAAAGAGAAAATAAGACAAATGTATTATCTTAAAGAAAGATTACTTAAAACATACATTCTCATGAATAAATATTCAACATATGTAGGGCTGTATACAGAACTGAGGTTCTTTTATGGCACCGACAGAACTGCGTCAGTCGGTGTATGGATTGAAACGTCACTCTTCTTTCGGTGTAAAGTTTCGGTATTGGATGTAACGTGTCACGTGGTTTCAGCACGCAGGCAGATAAAATACCAGACATATGACAAACGGACTACGTGTTTACACCCAGAGTTGTATAGGGCTGCCCTACAGCTGTATGTCTATGGTGCTGGTTACGCCCACAGACTGGGTTTACGTGTGCAGCGTCCAACGGCTTCCATTTACGAGCGGAAAGTTGCTACGTGTTTGTCTTTAAGGGGGACCATAGCCTCCCCTCCTCCTCTCAGCATTTAAGTCAGCCTGTGAATGTTGAACGACCTGATTCATTATCTCCACGACCGGACTCCTCTTCATCAAAGAACTCCAAGGACGGAGCTGTGTCTGGGATTTCAGCTGGTAAGTTTACGTTTGTTAACGTTACTGCGGCTTAATACGTGCATCGGGATGAGTTAAACTAGGATCCATGTCATTAACTTTAAGATATTAGTGTGGAGCTTTATTTTATGGCTATGTAGCTAGCTAAACGCAGAAGCTAACTAAAGATTGACACTAACAGATAAAGCTTGTAAAAATGTGCTCATCCATCAGATCAGCTAGTTAAACAGTTCACCTAATGTTCACTGTTTGTTTATGTTCTCCTCACAGGAGCATCTGACCCTGATGTGAGGAGGACAGAGACTGACAAAAGAAAAACGAGATGGGGGGCCCACTGCCTTTTTCTACAGTGGAGGCTGCATGGTGGAGGTAAGTAAGCTGTAAAGGATATTGTTGACCAGTTAAACCTTTCTCTCTCAGCCTAGATAATATTTTTTGAGCAATAAGAACACAACCATGTTATTGTTGATGTTTTGTGTTCTGATGTCAATTAGGGAGATGATAAGAGCCCTAAACCCCAGAGAACCACAGAGAAGATTCAGGAAGAGACACAGAGGTACAGATGTCTGCCATCAACACTAACCTCAGTGAATCCAGTGACCTGGTGGTGGAATGTGAGGGACACTATACCAGTGCTATCAAACTGGCAGCCAGGTATCTGTGTGTGCAACAAGCATCATCCACAGCCTCAGAGTGAACATTTTCTACTGCTGGAGACACTATCAGCCAGGAGCGGGCTTGTTTGTGTCCAGAGAAAACAGACATGTTGATTTTTCTGAAGAAAAACTGTTAAGTGACTGTTTCAGTGTGTAGCAGTGAACATTAGACACTGACGTGTCACTTGTTGTTTGCAACTGTTCTTTTTCTCAAATGAGTTGAAAAGGATGTTCTGTGGACACATTCTCATCTACCTGCCAGCTGTGCTTGAGTGCCTGACCACTGAGATCCTGGAACTAGAAGGAAACATGGCTCATGTAAGTGGAAGGACAGGATCGTCCCTCGGCACCTACAGTTGGCTGTCCACAGTGACGAGGAGATCGGCAGACTGCTGGGAGGAGTGGCCATCGCTCTGGGAGGAGTTCTACCAGGCATTCGGGAGGTCCTACAGCCCGGGAGAACCTAGAGGCCAGCTGAGTCTGGGTGGACGGATTGGACGCCAGCCAGTTTCTTAGGATCCACTGTGGGATGGACCTTTACAAGAGATCCTTCCTGCCTACAGCCATCAGTATCCATAACATCTCTTAATTAAATGAAGATAACGAGTCACAACAACAAATAATTTCCCTTTGGGATTAATAAAGTATTTTTGAATTGAATTGAATTAACCTGGAAATTATTTATTTATTTTTTATGTAAGAAAACTGCTTGGAATGGGAAAATACCAAAGTTACAAAATAAAACTCAAGATTTGTACTGTAATGTGTAATGTAATTTTCTTCTTTTTAGAATTGATATTAATTACAAAATTGGTACCGAAAAAAGAACAGTCTAGGAACCGACATCGAAGTGAAGGTACCGACACCGGTACTTATACCAAATTTTTTAGAAACGCAACCAGCCCTAAACATATGACATTTTAGAATTAAAGTTAAAACATTCAATGTTTTAACAGAGGTGTCGCTGTTGACTGTCCATCTCCTGGAAAAGGAATGTCAATTTGAACAAACAAAGGGTTCTTATGTTGTTATCTTCATGGGAACGAGTCTGGAAGAAATAATCCTTTTCGATAAGGGAAGTTATCAACGTTGAGAGTTTTTCTTAAGTTTCAAACGCCGAGATCAGTTGAACAAAAGCTTCCATTAAAACGATCTGCCCGTTTCATGGGAAATTAGTTCATATTGATTAGTGAGTTTCACAATAAAAATTTTTTATTTATTACATTAGTGTCAACTTATGGAGTTTGTAAGCTGAGACAATGAATAAAATATGTCTGTTGAGTCCTAAGGGAATAGATTAATCTTATTTTAACAGTTTTAAACACAAAACACAGGAATGATGTTTGTTACTGATTTTTTATTAAAGGTTTTATGTGAAAAATGCTATGCTAAGGAGCTCAAACCACACTGACCGTCCGCCATTTTGAGAACCCCCCCCCCCAAAAAAAAAAAAAGGAAAGAGAGACAGCCCATGTCACATCCAGGGGCCTCCCTCCCATTTTTCTTAACACTGCTCGCTTCCTCAATATCCATCCTTCGGTTCAAACAGTCTTATACTGCCATCTGGTGGTCAAAAAAGGTACTACACTCAAAACAAATTAACCAGCATTTCTTCTTAAATTTGACAATAATTACTAATTATTGGCAAATTTCAAACAATATCGTTTATCACAATAATTTCTGAGACCATTAATCGCCCAACAAAATTTGTTATTGTGACAGGCGTATATATAAATAAAGTTTATTATTATTAATATAAGCTCCTCCATATGCAACTGGGTCCTTGCCTTCTTAACAAACAGACCACAGTCTGTGAGGATCCACAACTTCTCCTCCTTCACCATAACTCTTAAGCACTGGCTCCCCCAGGGCTGTGAGTTGAGTTCACTCTACTCACATAAGACTGTACTCTTACCCATCCAGGCTGTCATATTGTAAAGTTTGCAGACAATACAGCGGTGGTTGGATACATCACGAACAATGATGAATCTAGCTACAGGCAGGAGGTGGAACACCTGGAGAGCTGGTGCAGGAAGAACAACGTTCACATCAATGCGAGGAAGACGAAGGAGATGGCCGTGGACTTCAGAAGGAACAAACATATCTACCCACTAGGGGTTGAACGACTACATAATTTTTAAACTCGACATTAACATAATAAAACTCAAGTAGAACTCGAGTACTTGACGACATCATAGGATCTAAAGATACAAAAATAAATAAATAAATAAAACCGCAAAAAAGGTCATTATTTACAAAAAAAAGACCAACTAAACATTGGGAGCATATATTATGCTCCTACCATTTATCATACTGCAAATAAGACACAGGAAAAACTAAACTATTAGTTACTATTATTTTTATTAAGCTGCAAACGTGAAGAAACGTGCAGCACATCGAAAACGAAACTAAAAACAGTGGGGGTCCCATCCCGCATCACCGCCAGCTGTGGTACGCATTAAGTTTAGTTTTAGAGATTAATATGTTTATAGATTTTTTTAATAGGTTTAGAGATTAATATTTTTAGCTTTTTGTTTGTGAAACAAGGTCAGAAGGAAGCTGGTTCAGTAGGTTGGACC